TATATAATTAAAAAACTTCTGAAAATTTTTTAATTTATAATTATCTTATTTTATTACTTAACCGCGGGGGTCTTAGTAAATCAGAAATTAAATTGAATTAAAATAAATTTATAATTTATATTTTATTAACTAACTGATCTATTAAATATAAAATAATCTATATAAATTTAATCTTAAAATTATTTTTTTATATATAATAGTTTCTTTAGAAAGCAGGAGCTCCAGATCTTTATAATAATTTATAATTAAATTTTCTACTTTAAATCTTTATATTTGTATCCTAGTACAGTCTATATTAAATAATATAGATAAAAATTACTAATTATTAAATATTATTTTCTGATTCTAAGAATCTTATAAAGAATTTCTAATATTAAAATATCTTTCTATAGTTCAAGATCATAAATAATATATATATATAGCTTTATTCTCAGTAAGACCATAAATAATTAAGATAATAATATATTAAAAATAATAAATATATCATTTTTATAATATTATATTAGTTTAGTTTTATTAATCTGGAAAGCCAGGGGCTTCTCATGAAAAAAGATTTATTAATATTTATAACTAATATATTATTAATTTTAATAACGAGAGCAGATGTTCTAATAAAATTATTTATAAATTGATATCTCAGTATTCTAAAGTTAGAATTCTTGTCTGAGTAATTTAATTTTTCTTATTAAAACATTTATTTTAAACTATTATATTTTTTTTCTTAATTTTTAAATACAATTTTATTTAATATATTATAGTTAACTGAGTTCTCAGCCTTATAAGATAATATAAAATAAAATTAATTATAATAATATTAAATAATTTATTAAAAAGCTTTTTTTTATATCTAATACCTGATCAGAGAATTAAAGAAAATTTTAATAATATAATTTAATATAATTTATAAATTACAAGTCTTGCAGTATTTATAGGTCCAGTTAAAGATATAATATTTTTTATTATGAAAAAAATAGTAAATCTAGTTTTTATTAATTTTTATAAAAATTATCATTAATCTTATAATTTTCTGTGTAGTATATACAAGCAGGGTACTTATAGTAATATTAATATATATCTATTTATAATTTTAATATTTAAAATATTAAAGAATATATTAATCTTAATTTTAAATTATAATATTAAAATTACTATTATTTAATAAAATTTATGTACAGATGGCTCTACTAGCAGTATAGTTATTAATCAATTTTATTATTATGTATAAAAGATTTTTCTTAGATAATTCTCATTTAAGACTATTTTTATTTAATATATATAATATCTGTTAGAATAACAGTCTAATAATAATTTTCTATAATAAATAAGAAGATATCTCAATTATTCTTTCTATAAGCATGATTACAGTATCTAGAAAGCTCAGAAACATACTTTTCAGGGACCCATACCTGTTGTTATTTTTAGCTCTCCAGCACCTCTGCAAAAGCACGCTACCCAGCGCCTTTAGGGGTCAAAAGACCTTTAAAAGTTATATTTAACCATTATTTATGACTATCTACGTAGCCTTTTCGATATCTTTCGGTGTGGTATAGCTACAATATCGTAAAGACCTGTCAGGAAGGCTATATGGCCTTGAATAATCAACCCGACCACCATGAAAAACCTACATGTTCAAGCGAACACTCTATTAAAAAATGGGAGGCGCTACCGCCATACCAGCCAGGCTTCCTCCATACCGGCCTCCGCTCATGCCACACTCTCCGCCTATCTTCCGTCTACCTTAGTAGGTAAGGCTTGCTTCTTTTTAGATAAGACTTACTTCTTAAATCAGGCAGATTCTTACTATCTATTATTTTAAATTTATTATTATCTGAGACAGAAAATATAAATCTTAGGTAATAATTATTCCTGGTTAGAAAGACAGTGGTATTCTGATAAATTAAAAATATAAGTCTTATCTAAAAGAGAGCGGGCCTTACCTTTTAAGGTAGGCGGAAGATAGGCAGAGGGTGTGGCATGAGCGGAGGCCGGTATGGAGGAAGCCTGGCTGGTATAGCAGTAGTATCTCCCATCTTTAAATTCTATTTATTTGATTTGAAATAATATTTATTATAAAATAAAAACTAAAATACTATCAGGACCAGGCGTCTTGCGGGATATAATTAGATATAAAAATTTAAATACTTTTTATAAATAATTTTTGGTATATATAATAATAGTAAATAAAATATAGTGTACTAATACTTTACGGTATTAGTATTTTAAAAACTGTTTTTCAAATTGATTTAATTTTCTTTTCTGAATTATCTTTCATTTTGATTTTTTATTAAAATTATGTAAGGCAGATATAAATAAATTTAAAGTTATTTTTAATTTATATTTCTTATATTATCTGCCAGAATATCATAAATATATTCTTTCTTCATTTTTCTATAATATATAAGTTCTCATATTTTGGCAGATATCTGATCGGTTATATAATATAGTATATAACTATTTTTTGTTTTTCTCCAAGTATAATATATATATTAATTCCTTTTTTATTTATTTCATTTGTTTGATTTTCTCTGTATATACTGGATAGAAATTATGTAATTTACTGGTAAAAAATTACTTTGTGGTTGTTTTTATAAATACTAATAATATATAAATTATAACAGTGTTGATATTATTTTAATAATATAATATCTGTACCCAGGCAGGATATATATAATTAAAAATTTTCAAACAAATTTTAATTAATATTTATCTAATTTTACTACTCGACCGCGGGTCTTAATAAATAAGAAATTAAATTGAATTAATGTAAATTTATTATTAATATTCTATTATTACTCTTTACAAAATTAAGCAGCTGATTGACTAGTCTGTAAATTATAAAATAACTTATATGAGATTAATAATTATTTTATAATTGTTATTTTATATATAATAGCTTTGTTAGAAAGCAGAAACTTTTAAATTTTTATAATTAATATATAATTCAACTAGTCTGGTTCAAAATTATAACAGTTTCCAAATTTATATTACTTAATTACTTTCCGCTGGTTCTAAGAATCTTGTAAAGAATTTTTACCATTAAAATATTTTTCTACAGCTCAGGATTATAGATCATGTATATATATGGATATATTATATCATTTTAAATAAAACCTTGCATAGTCAAGATATTAATTAATATATTAAAAATAATTTTAAATAAATTATATTCAAAGTTATTCTTTTATTAATAAAGAAACAGATCCATGGGAAGTTCTTTTTGAATAAGTTATTTAATCTTAGTTATATAATTATATAAAACAGTGCTATAGAATCTGCATGTGTATAATTATGGGAGGCGCTACCGCCACACCAGCCAGGCTTCCTCCACACCGGCCTCCGCTCATGCCACACCCTCCGCCTACCTTCCGCCTACTTTAGTAGGTAAGGCTCGCTCCCTATTAGGTAAGGATTGCTTTTTGAATTAGGCAGAACATCACCGCCTGCGGTTTTAGATCTGTTATCACCTGAGGCAGAAAATTCAGATCTCAGGCAACGATTATTCCTGGTTCAGAAGGCGGTGATGTTCTGCCTAATTCAAAAAGCAATCCTTACCTAATAGGGAGCGAGCCTTACCTACTAAAGTAGGCGGAAGGTAGGCGGAGGGTGTGGCATGAGCGGAGGCCGGTGTGGAGGAAGCCTGGCTGGTGTGGCGGTAGCGCCCCCCATAATTATTTGTAATATGTGTTAATACGGATAACTTCCTGAATAATAAGAAATATACATTTTCAAAAATATTTTTTCAGTTTTCTAAATATTACAATTACATTTATGAAAAGAATAACTGAGGCTTTTTTAAATATTACTATAAAAGATCTTATTAAGATTGAAGATATTATTATATATATATAATAAGCAGACAAATTTAATTCATTAAATTAAATATACTAATAGAAAGTAGATATAACTTAATTTCTATTTTTATATTTATTTTAATATTATATATCTATCTTAAAGTAGTAAAATAAGATTTTATTTCAATTTCAGAATTATTTTTTAAACTAATTTAATAAAATATATATTAAAGATACTAATCTAATTTAATCAATTTTTATAAAGGTTTTTAAGATTCTAATACAGCTAGAGCCTCTAGCTAAAATTTCAAAATTATATATATATATAAAATTACTAATTTGATAAGTTAATCATTTTATTATAAGAACTAGACTAATTAATGTAAATTAATAAAAGTATTATCATTTCTGAAGATTCTATAATCTTATATTATAGAATTATAACTAAATGATTTTCTTTAAATAATATACTGCTAGTTATATATAATATAAAAAATTAAAATTTTTATATATATAAAAATTTCTTAGATTAAACTTTAGAAATGAATATAGCTGTTAATATTTTTATTATAACTTTTATAAATATAGATATTAATATATTTGAAAAAAATAATTTTATAAAATATTCATATAATAAAATATTTATTATTAATAACAGTTAGACCGCCATCCTGACAGATATTATATATATTAAATAAACATTCAAGAAAGTTATTTAAGAAAATAAATCATATATATTACTAATAGATTACCCATACAGGAGTTCCACCAGATAATAATTAATTTTAATTATTAGATTTGATTTTAAACCTACAACTTTTAAAGAGAATAATTACATCTAAAAAAATTATAAAATTTTAACTTTATATAAATTATTTCATAAAATGGTTAATTAATCATCAATTCTAGAAGAATAGGTAGTAAGATATCAATTATAAATCTATACTGATTTAATTTAGGGATATGCTACCGCCACACCCTCCGGCTATTCCGCCTATCTTAGTAGGTAAGGCTTGCTTTTTGAATTAGGCCGACCCTCACCGCCTACTATTTTAGGTTTGTTATCACCTGAGGCAGAAAATTCAGTTCTCAGGCAACGATTATTGGTTAAGAAGGCGGTGGTATTCTAATGAATTAAAAAGGTAAGCCTTACCTACTAAGGTAGCCGGAAGGTAGCTGGAAGGTGTGGCATGAGCGGAGGCCGGTGTGGAGGAAGCCTGGCTGGTGTGGCGGTAGCGCCTCCCTAAAATAAATATAAATAGAGCTATTTCTGCTTTTTATTATTATAACTGATTTAATAAGCTTCACTTGGTCAGCTTACTATATATATATAATATTTTTAATTCTAATAATATTCTTTATAATAGTATCTAGAAAGAAGACTTTGATTATTTTGTTTATAGATATAATTATAATATTTAGAAAACTTAGCAAAATACTCAGACTCATGCTTATTATTACTTTTCTAATAATATTTAAAATTATAGATATTATTTAATAAAATATTTACTTAAATATGCAGAATTTTACAATAACCAGATTAATTATTTAAAATTATGTATTTTTTTAATAAATTTTTATTATATTATAGCCACATAACACTGAAAAAATATCGAGAAAGTTATATAGATAATCGTAAACAGTGGTTAAATATAATTTTTCAAGGTCTTTTGACTCCTAAAGGCGCTGGTTGGCGTGCTTTTGCAGGCCTGGCCAGGTACTGGTTCTCCTGTCCAATATTTTAGCCTTGATAGTAGTACTAGAATAAGAGATTAATATTTTAATTATGGATTTATAATCTAAAAATTCTAATGTACTAAGAATTTAATAACTTAGATTGACGTTAAAGACTTTATTGAAGAAAGTCTTTTTTATTTTTAATTTAATTTATTTTCTAATAAGCTTTTAATAATAGTAATATCTTAAGCTATTTAGATTATATATCTAAATATTTATGTTTCTATTAATAATTTATTTTTCTGGATTTAAAATAATATTTTTTTTATAAATTATTAATATTTTGTTTAATCACAGGCTTTGCCGGGATTCTTAATTACAATAAGATTATTTTTGAAAACTTCAGTATTATTCTGAACATGGTTAATTATATTTTTAATATTATAAAAAACTTAGTTCTGGACTGTATATATTTTCATATTTTTAAAATAATTAATGGTATTAGCATAATAAGTTACTAGCAAGTAAAATATTCTGAGAGAATCATTAGATTTGAAAATAATTATTCTAATTAATTTATTAGAAAATTTATGATATAATTCTTTTTTTATTCTATTATAAAAGGCTGGATCTTTGTAATCTAGAATATAACTTGAAAACGGAATAAATATATAAAAAAATTTTTATCTACAGTATTCAGAAGTTAATTGTTATAATAAATAATTAATTCAGATTCTTATAAATATTTCCTTGATATTAGTAAAACTTAGCTCCCGTGGGTCTTACGTAAAAAATAATATATATTTAGAAAAACTTTATTAATACCTTTACATATAAGCCTCCTAAAGAAGAATATTATTAATGTGAGAGCTAATATGTCTTATTTAGTGCATCTAGACTAGAATATCGAACGTGGGGGGAAAGAAGGAAGCATAAAAGAATATATATAAATAATAAAAATAAGTAAATAAAATAAAATTTATAGAATTATATGTCACGCGCTTCTGAATATTATTCAGTATTATATTATTTCTTTTATTAAGACTTGCTGTCCTCAGCCAGTGGAATATTATTATTTTTGTAATTTAATATAAATTTATCAGTCTCAGGCGCGGTAGGTTTTTATAACAGTTATTTAGAGAAATTAAAATAGATAGAATTCTTTATATAATAATTTTATAATTGGAAAGAAGTTTTTTTTTCGAGTAGAATATTATATATAATTTATTTTATTTAATATAAATTATTTAGTTTTATATTACTGATAGCTGTAATATTAGTAACTAATCAAAATTTCTTTTATTTCTTAATTAATTTAATAATTAATCTAAATAAAAATAATAGTATT